TTTGTTTGTTATGGCCAAATTTGTTTGGGCCAGGATTAATGATACTGGATTTCATTAGATGAGCAGGTGTTCTTTATATTGTCGATTGGAGAGTAGTTTGCAACTCAGTTATTTCTAGATTAACTGTGATGAAGTCACTCATTACTTTGATGCACTCCACAGGCTGAACGCTTGTTTGGCTCTGTGTCTCATACCAACCTGTGCTTTGTGCAGCTTTCACAAGACCTTTTCTGAGGGTGTCCCTGAGCCAAGGCTTCATCTGAGCCAACTCATCTCCTCCCACTAAAGCAACTACCAGGTGTGGAGGAGCTAGTCCCCACTCCTCTGTCAGCATCTGGAAGATGACCGCTGGGTCGGTATTTACTTGCACCCTCATAAACTAGAAGAAAATTGAAGAGGATAAGGCACTACTGTACTCATTCCCTAAGCGTGTTATGTTGTCTACCTTTCCTTTTGTCTTGGAGGTTCCAATGAAGTCAATGTCACCCACTCTGTCCGCTGGCCAGTAATTCTTGATTCTGCTGCTCTTCTGGTCACTTACATTTCGTAGTGTCTCATCCTCTGTCGAGCAGCATGAACAACCCTGGAGCACACTGAATATGAAAAGACAATGTTTTTAACGCAGGTTCTGTCCTGTAATTGCAAATTATAAACAGCCAAATAATACAGAATACATATTTGAACAGAGTGGCAGAGTGGATGACTGCATGGTTAGCACATTCGCCACACAGTTCTGAGGTTGTGGGTTCAAATCTGACTTCCGGACTCCCCGTGTGGAGTTTGCATGGTTTCCACGTGCCTGTGTGGGTACTCCGGTCCCCCCCCCCACCCCCCCAAATTTGAAAAACATGTATGGAAGGTTCAAGGAAAACAAATTGTCTGTAGGTGTGAATGTGAGTGCAAATGATAATCGTTAGTCTGTATGTGCTCTGCGATTGGCTGGGGATCAGTTCAAGGTGTACCCTGCCTCTCGCCCAAAGTCAGCTGGCATCGTGGACGTAGTATATCACAACCTAGACTGCCAGTCGCCTCTCGTGGCTGAAGCAGCCATCTTGTGTTGCCTCTGTTACCGACACCTTCTAGTATTTGTTCATTGAAAACACATCGTAGAAAGGGCTCTGTCAGTCGTCATCTGTACCTGTGGGTAAAAAACAACTGTGTTTTTTACCCACAGGTACAGATGACAACTGACAGAACCCTTTCTACGATGGAACTTTCCTGTACGACTGAGAGCCTCCACAAGCACATTGAAAACACAGTTAAGAGTGTGCATTTTACGCCACGTTACCTGTATTCAGTAATGAGAGCCTCACAAAGGCCAAATTTCTTTGGCTAACTTGACCATTAAGAGTATTATCTCAGTAACGTGAATTGTAACTTACAGAAGTTAATATTACATTTCACAGCATGCTTTTTCTTGCTGGACTTTGCTTTGACTTTATTGTTCATAGTTCTCACATTATGATGCAGACAATTCTTTGAGTAGCATTCTTGAGATATAGCTTGTAAGAGGAAAATGTATACATCATGATATTCTTACTGATGAAATGTGCATGCAGGGCTTCTCTCCAGACTTTTTGAACCTGATTGAGATGCTGTGGTATGTGATTTAGCCCGAACTCAAACCTAACCTTAACCCTTTTTGATCGTTTCTTTTAAGTTAGCAGTATTTAACAAATATATATCTAAAGCACATACATTATGGCATGGATTTTAATTATTTCCTTAATTGGTAATATCCATCCATCACTTTTCATTACTGCTTGTTCGAATCACGATATTTAAACCCAGAACCTCTCAATTGTGAGACAGATGAAGGGCGGGGGAGGAGAGGGTCATTGTTCCTCATCTTTGTCAAAGTATAAAGAAAAAAAGTCAAGCTCATGGATGGATGGGTGGATGGATGGACGGATGGATGGATAGAAAGAAAGAAAGATAACTCGATAGCTTGACACACCAGTGCTCCTCTGACCATTCCAGCATGTTCCCACATTGCAGGCATTTTGTCTGTGGCTGTAGCCCCTACAAAGAAGCAAACACGGCAATATAATCAGCGCTTCCCTTTAAACCAATTATGAGTCATTCATCACACTTTTCACAAAACAAAAGGTTCTTCGAGGCATTTGTGGTCAATGCAAAACTGGCAGAATTTCCATCCATGCTTCATATGCAAAGCAGTGCTTAGCATATGTTTGAACTTGAAATTCACAAAGCACCACAGCTCACTCTTGGATGCCTACAGTGTCTAAATCAAAACCTTCTGATCAATTCCCAAAGAGGGCTTTGTTCAGTCATTTTAGGAAGTGATGTCTTGTTTCAAATCAACTGTCACTGTTGCAGTAGTTGTGATTGTTTCACGACATTGAAATTAATATCAGATGATCTATTTAGTTGAGTCTTATTTACATTTGTAAATATGTGTACAATGGTTATAATACTCTGAGGACCATGAATTAATCAATGAGTCTGAATGAGCTTGTCATTACATAAAGAGTGAAAGTCAATTTGTGTTCAGATGTTTGTTTTAATGTACGGAAGCTGGCTGTGGTGGGAGCTGATATTTGACTACAGGTTTGACTCGGACAGGATAAAAACCATTGGAAATGCAAAAGATCCGATTTGCATGCAATCACTGGGGACGAAACAACCAGCCACATGATACACACAAATACACGCTTTTTTTCCTCAACAATAAAAACATCTGTTGGTGGAAGACTACTTCTCCAACATTTCAAGTTACTCAATCGAACTGGATTAATCACTGACCAGCCACAACATTCTGAACACTAGCACAATCTAATCCTCAGTACACAAGCTTTCTCAAATATTCTGCTCTTCGTGTATAAGGGTAGTCATTTCATAATACTTGATTATTGTGTGGTTCCCTACAATTGGCTGGCAACCAGTTCGGGGTGTACACCGCCTACGACCCGAAGACAGCTGGGATAGGCTCTGGCACACCCGAGACCCTCATCAACATAAGCGGATTAGAAGCTGTTTGTGCTATAATTTGTAGAACAGAATTGCATTATATTAAAAGTAGTTTCTAATATTTTTTTTTTACTGTCATGAAATTGAGATAAACAAAATACACGGCGCTCACCATTCTTCTGTAGCAAATTAGATTGTGTTTAACCTCGGGGGGGGGGCTGTTTTTATTTAACCAAATATTTCAGAAAAGGTTATTTTAGAGCTGTAATTTTAATATCGTGATCATGCAATATTTTTGCTCACGGTAGAATCTAATATCAGCCCATGATTACATGAAATAGCCTACACGGTACTTTATGTGAAAATATTGTTCTGATAACAAGATAGTAGATGTTATATGTACTTACAAGAAAATTGTCTCGTCTGCCCAACATCACTGAACGATCCTTTCCTTGTTAAACACACCTGAGAAGGCGTAGAAGTTTACTTGAGTGAGACACTTTGGCCACCAGGAAGTGGCATGGATTCATCACAGCGACAAAACCAACACCACCACTCATTTGCATATTGCTCAGCCAATGAAAATTAAGACTAGAGACAGAGGATATATCAACATTTCCATGATGTTGCCTCCTAACAGATGCTTTCACCCGCTGTCTATTGCAGCCATCTTCAGTTATTGCCTATTTGTGGTTTGGCTGGCTCCACTTTTGTGTTTAGAAAGTGAAAAGCATACCCTTTTATTGGTTATTTAGATGTGCTGACTAACTTGGCCATTCTGCTCTTATTATGCAGCTCGTAGATGTTTTATTTATGATACTCGCTGTTAATTACTTGAGTTGCTGTTTCACAGTATGCTCATGGTTGTTAACCATCCGGGGTGTTTAGCACCTGTGCTTTGCAGAAATTGGCTACATTTGAGCAGCAAAATATTTCTCTCATATTTACACAGTGCATTACAAGTTCTAAGTGCCTTCATGCATTATTTCACAACACATGTCAACTCAAAGAGCATCAAAATTAATTTGTGTTGAAGTCTTTTCTGCAACCCTCACAGTATTCCAAAAGAAGGCCGAGCATCAGCATGGGACGAGGGACATTCGAAGCAGGAAGACTTGAAAGCTGATTTTTCCAAACAAAGTTTGTAAACTGTCAACCCCGACATGTTCTATTCCCCTTATCCAATTCAGGCCCTCGTATATCCCAAATGACATCATACACTGGATTTATTGGCAGTCAATTACAGGAAACATATGGAGACCACCACTGAAACTAGTATTTGCACCATAACTAAGTGTGAGTTGAACACACATAGTGCCACATTGAAGACCGGCAGATGAACCACCACACATTGGCAACGCAATAAATGAATTATTTTTGTGAATTAAAAAAATGTATGCCTGAAAAAAGACTGCACCAAAGGTTTGAAAGAAAGCGCAAAATAAAATACTGACTCTTCTGGGAATTGCTGCCTCATGGTTTATGGGTTTGCTATGATGACACCCTGTCAATTTATGTTGACTGTGTAGACCAGTGGTGAGCGAGCCATCAACGCAAGCCATTGCTTCTCTGCTGGAGTCCATCCCAGTTGTCTTCGGGCTGTAGGAGCGGAACACCCAAACTGGTTGCCAGCCAATCACAGGGTACACTTAGACGCACACCTATTTGTGCTCAAAATCACATCTAGGGACAATTTAGTGTTCCATTAGCCTGCCATGCATGTTTTTGGAATGTGGGAGGAAACCGGAGTACCCGGAGAAAACCCACACAGGCACCGGGAGAACATGCAAACGCCACAGATGAAGGGTGGGGCCTGGCATGGAACCTTGCACCTCTGCACTGTAAGGCCGACACCACCCTTATTGCTTTTGTTCATGATAATTAATTTGATAGAGTAAAATAAGGATTTTAATAGGAAATGCATCAATCTGGGAAGATATTTGTAAAATGTTGTTTGTGAATAAAAAAAAAATGTGCCTTTTTGTTATATTCAGCATTAATGATTATGCAAAGCCCGCCTATTGGCTCTTTGATCTATGCTCTGCAGCCAATCTGCGACTTTGTTTTCCGTGTAAAAGAGGACTCTTAGTGCAACATCCTGCAGTAAACTACTCAACCTCCTCCGGTGCAGTCCAGGAATACGAGGCCGAAGACCAAAGGAAGATTACTACTGAATGCTGGTCGTGCTAAACTTAACAACAACATTGGAAACATGAACGGCAGCGTGCGCAGGTCTCTGTTTGGCCGGGTGGATCACGAGCAGCTCCACCGAGAAATGAAACTCAAGTTCCTTGAAATATCTCAGGAAGACTTCCGCCGCTGGAACTTTAACTTTAAGACCGAGACTCCTTTGCCAGGCAGGTTTGAGTGGGAGAAAATCCCCCCAGACTGCACCGTCGCTCTTCACCACGAGTCTTCCCAGCAGAAGTACACTTCTCCCGTCTTGGCAGCTGAGGACGAGGACGGGCCCGCTGAGACTGAAGAGGACAGGAGCGACCAGGAGAACTGTCCCGGCTTCTCCAACCAGTGTGCCGCCGAAGTGACGCCTGTTCGGAGGAAAAGGATGCCCCCCAAGGCCAAAGAAAATGCCCAAATCACAGGTAGGAAACGTTGCCCAGGTTTGTTGCGTCAACAGCGGTTGCCAACGGACAAAAGTCGCCTTTGAAGTCTGAATGCATGTAGTCTGAATGTAGTCATCAAACATCGAAAACAAACCGTTTGCTGTGAAATAACCCGTCCGTTTATTTCCTTGCAGGCTTTTTGGTTCAGAGGAAAAAGTCTACAGAAGGCAAACGCAGCAAACTTTTCGCAAGTTACACTGAAGCAGATATGTTCAAAGCAATGAGATGAGATCACACTTGTGGTGAAAAGCTACGATGGTGACACCGTTTCCACTGACCCAGTCGCCAATCTGTATCTGGTTCAATGTTGATGTTATAACTGTATTTTCTTGTTGTTTCAAATTTATTTTGTGTTTTCTATAATTTATTTTATTTATGTTCTTCTTCTTCTTTTTTTTTAATGTGAACATTCTTCGTCTGGAATTGTCAGCATAAGTATTGAAACGTTGTTCCAGTTTGTTCGTTCTCTGACATCGTTTGCTTTAACATGTTAACTTGAAGAAAATATTATACCTGTATTATTCTGTTGCCGACTGATATGTAATGCATGTGAGGTTGTAAATGCTTGCTGAAGTTTTTAAAAACTATTATGACAAAAAATGAATTACTGTCGGCAGTTGGTTGTTTGAAGAATGCTCTACTTTGATTTGAAGAACTACCGGATTGTTGATGAACGACCACACTAAATAAAACACAAGTTATGTCGAAATTTCCATCAACTAATAGGATTTATACTATCTATTGAAAATCCTCTTTTTAGCCAAAATGTAAAAACGCAAAGGACTTTGTTTCCAGCATAACGTTGTCCTATATCTCACAGAATATGCACTCGGTTAGAATATTAGTGAACAACCTTTCCCTTGTACGTTCTGTCCCACAAGGTCAATTAGTGGAACCCATAGTACCTAAATGTAACATTTCCATAGTTGCTTGATGTCAATTACAGTTACAATATAAAGTTGTCCCTAAATGTTCCATTGTATCCTGAATAGGTACATAACTTGAGGATACAAATGCAGTACACACCCTTTTCAAGGGTACAAAAAGTGTATCAGCCAAGTGCACTGCACCAGTGACAAGCCGCTATACCTGTAATAAGATGTAAAGAAGTGAACCCTAATGTCCCCAATATCAATCGTTTGATGCTGTTTTCCTTTGAGCGAGGGCAGGGAGAAACTATACAGATTCTTATAAAACATGTTTATTTTCCACCTGGAGAAAAAAGGGTGCTTAAAATGTAGTGTTATGCCAAAGTGAGACTGAATGAGTAAGAGGGTGGTGGAGCAGTCTCTGGCAGTGGAAAGAAACTGAAAAGGGATACATTCAAGGTTAAATGGTTGGTTCTTTGAGGAGTGCAAGGTCCGTCAGAGAGGTCTGGTCCAGGCAATGTTTGCTTGCACCGCCCTTTACATCTTCCTTCCTGTGGCAGAAAGATTGTGAGAAGCAGAGATGAATCGAGGACTCATTTAGGTCGCGCTGGATCTACAGCTCCTGTGGCAGACTGTGCTTACTCAGTAGCTAGTGTAGACAAATCATCCTCTTGGCTTTCTGAGCATCAAGGTGATGTTCATCACTCTCTTCCGTTTTACGTGTTTCCACCAAATATGACACCACAGGCCTGTTTGATCGTGTGTGTCCTCAGAGGTGCAGTATAACAGTCTTTAGCGTGCGTTTTTCTTTTCCAGGTTTTTCTAACAGCACACATTCAACGTAGGGTCAATATGTTGACTCATTATCCTAAGTTGACCTTCATCAGCCTCATTTCTGGTTTACATTTCACTGAAAAGCTTCATAGCAATGCACTTGTTTTTTTAGGGCATCATCTGTTCAAAACATTGCTAGGAAAGCTATGGAAACGTCGGTATGTTCAAAAACGATCCCGGAGGCATCAAGGTTAAAATTGGTTGTGATGATTCATCCTTTTGCTGATTTAATGGCAAAAACAAATTGTACGATACAGAAAAAGGAATCTTGGCAGTACAGTAATCGAAAGGACATTTATAGCATTTGCAGTATCAAAAATTGATAGTAAAATACATTTTATTCAGAAACGTAAGAAGAATCATTTGAATCAAATTAGCCCCCTGCAAAGGCTAAGACCCATTAATACGAGCACACTACACCATGGTTGGGTTTTCAGCTGTGGAGAATCCAAAGGCCATGTGGCCGGAAAGCAGGACAATGACCACAAAGCAGAGTGTGCCATCTATTTCACCTGCAAATCAGCTTTTTGTTCCTCCCCAACCCCGCCAGCTCTTTCCTCAACTTTGCTCTTTCCACATGGTACCTTTCACATTCAAAGCCTAAATCGGACACCGACATGTGCCCACACCTATTTGAATATTTACACTCCTTTTTTGCTTCATGTTGACTTGTACGTCTCTGTCTCAGGGGTAGATGATTCTTAGTTATGTTCAAGTAATAAAGAAATCAAATATTAAATTTACTGTGTAGCCATTTCATTTTTAATAATGAAAAATATTCAGTTACATTAACTTACTGGATTCACAAAGTTTAAATGTACAATATTTGATGCCAAGTTAGTAAGTATCAAATGGGTCCCGAAGGTTTACACCCTCTCGCCCACCTCCTTAATTAGATCCTCATAAATATGTACGGCACTCTGCAAACCGTGCGGTTGGTCACCGCTGTACAAAGCCTTCCTCGACAATTCTGTGGAAATTTGGTGAAATTGTTGGGAGTTACTAAACCAAGATGTGATGTTTTGTTGTGTAAACATTTATCCTGAAAAGTTTGAAGGAATTCAATGGATGAAACAAGTGAAAAGTTTAAATGCAAAGTTATGATGCAAATGGGAGCATTATCATAATACATGTTTTAAAATATATATAGATATATTTTTATTGTTGACAGTCATCAGTCAAACTATTGTTGGAATATTTTTTATGATTGCTGTACCGATGAGGGATTTCCTGTTTGAAATGTTCCAAATGACAGCAATTACCAAGTTTGCCATCCCCATTCATTTCTACACGGTACCAAGTTCAGCCATGCTCAGCACACTTGAAGTGGGTGTATCCCATTGTTTCGGACAACAGAGGCAGATGGTCACTTGGGCCCTTTCTCCACATGACTTCTTGAGTAAAGGAATCTCTGGACACACCATGAATGATCACTGAAGAGAAGGTCACCATCTGGTGCCCAAAGGTCTCTGGACTAAAGACCAGGTTGTTCCGGAGGCTTTAGTTATTTGCACATTCCCCTCTCAGCCCATTACTACAACCTCACGGCGACAAAAGAATCTCGGCTGCCAACAAGAGTGATGTATGATAGAGAAGGAAACACTCGAATGCTACTAATCATGTTGAATGGGAATACATGATTGAGTGATGGCTGAACAGAGGCCATAACCACTCATTTGCTTTCAGAGAATTGTGTCACATGTGATGCCTGCAAACACCGTAAACTTGATAAATATCACGAGGAGCACAACTGTGGTGGTAATATTGTGCAGGTGACGGAACCCTGTCAGACCGGAGCAGCTGTCAAGTTACTTATCAGCTACATCATACATCACACATGCCAAAACCAAGAAACAGGTGACAAACGACAAATGCAATAATCAGCAACAAAAGCGAGTGATCAAGTTATCAATTTTTATGCAACGTGAAATGTCCCAGCTGACCATGCACAGCTGAAGCTGTGAATGCTGCTAGGCAACAGGACCGGCAACACTTTTTGTCACATTTGTCATCTTACACGCCGCAGAGACGAGAGAGACTTGATAAACCCGAAAGCAAGCTTGCAATTAATGCTTCAGAGTCTTGGATAAAATCTGCAATGATAACTGTTAGTGACTGAGAAACAGGTAAGAGTCAAAATCTTAAAACACAGATGGACAAAAATATATTTAATGACCATTTAAATACAAAACGCAGATTAAAAAAAAAAAAGCTGTATTAACATTTCAGATCAGACATGCTTGGCATTGTTATTGAATGCTGACACTCAAGCGCTCACACTAGTGCTGTTGCAGCTTATTATTTTTATGCTTCATTTTACCACACCTAATGGTACCCCCATGGCTTGAACTCCCTCAAAGAAAAAATAAAAGCGTTTGTTTGGAGCAGAGCAATTATTTTGCACAATATTGTTCTTTTGCTGCAAAAAGATCAAAGGTAAGGAGGACACAAAAGTCATGATGTGACAATGTCATTACAGCCTGAAGCTCAAGGCGCTAACTGCTTAGTGTTAATAATAATAATAATAATAATAATAATAATAATACATTTTATTTGTATAGCGTTTTAAAAACACTCAAAGGCACATTACATAGTAAAAGACCATAATTAAAAAGAACAGGAAAATTAAGACAATTCTCATATTAAAAACTGCAAACATGGAACAGTGTGTAAAAACAAAAAAAATATGTGTGTGTGTATATATATATATATAGAGAGAGAGAGAGAGAGAGAGAGAGAGAGAGAGAGAGAGAGAGAGAGAGAGAGAGAGAGAGATTATATTGAAAGAATTATTGTGTATTACAGGTTCGAGAAGGTTCTGTCTCCCCAGGTCCACTGCTCGGTTCGGATGGGAGGGGTGAGGAGGTGGGCAGATCTAAGATTAGAGGTAGGAGTGTGGTAGTGAAGGAGATCAGTGAGGTCGGAGGGGGGCAAGGTTGTGAAGGGCCTTCAAGGTGATGAGAAGAATTTTAAACTGGATTCGTTGTTGGATGGGGAGTGGGTGAGGAGATGGGCAGCAGAGTTTTGGATGTTTTGATGTCTGTTGAGGATTTTGGTGGGCAAGCTATAAAGGATGTTATTGCAGTAGTGGAGTCTTGGGGTGATAAAGGCGTGAATCAGTGTTTCGGCAGCTGAGTGGGTGTGAGAGAGGGGCGAATACGGGCAATATTTTTCGGGTGAAAGAAGGCAGTTTTGGTGATGTGGGTTTCAAATGAGAGTGACTGATCAAAGATGACGCCAAGGTTACGGATATGGGTATAAGCAGCAATGATAGAGGTGTGTTTAACCAGGAGAGAGCAGTGCCAGTGATGTTAAAGGAGGACTCAAGACAGGTGAGAAAGATGGAGTGATTTATGGTGTCAAAAGCAGCGCTGAGGTCAATTAAGATGAGAAAGGTAAGTGTTCTCCCACCTTGCCCTGATGTCATTCCAATGATGATTAGATACTGAGGATACATATCTACATGGTATCTGAGCATAGGTGAAATAATATTTGATATATGAGTTACAAAAGAGAAAGTTGCTGGATAGATAGATGGACCGATCAGTTGCTGTTGTCCAACTTGGTAGACAGCTGCTCATAGATTGGGAGACCATCCTGACTGCGATTGACACTGCTGCTGTGGCCAGGCGGTGGCTTCGGTCTTCCCTCACGTTCGCCCCCAATGGCATCCCTCTCGTCTGGCAGAATACTGAGAGATTGTGCAATGCGGTTCAGCATCAGATCCATGTGTGAGATCTATAAAAAGCGAAGGCAATGTATAAATTATGGTTCGCACACGCAACAGTTTTACACTGAAATTTAAAGGCTCCAGTATACCCAGAACTATGCTGCCGATAAGCATGTGGTTAGAACTGTGTGGAGTTTATTGTGCGCTTGTATGTTTTAAAGACTCTAAATTGCCCTGGCTGTAAATCAGGGTTCCCACTCTTCTACTTGCTTTTTATTTATGGACCTTTTAAGGACTTTTGAGGGCTAATTTAGCCAAGGACTTTTTCTCCATTCAGCAGGGGATTCACGGTGGATTTAATGCCCGCTCAGCAATATGCGGGCTGAACAGAAAGCCACATATCACTGAGCTGGTGTTCAAATCATTGCTGCCAAAGGAAGGGCACATTTTAATTTTAGGGGCAATCAGCTAACCCTTTACTTGACATACTGTAGGTCAAATTTTCATTTTTCTACCTGTATGAGACATTGAACCCCACTTTCCCCGACAGTTGGGTACCCGGCGGCTGGGTAGGTGAGGTTCTGAGGGCGGGTGGGTCGCGATGGCACCGGCGGGGAGAGGTCCCCAACGCCGGCCGCGGCCTTGCCAGGAATAGAGCTGGCTAGACTCGGCGGATGAACGTTGGGGCGCTGGCGATGGGGGGGTGTTGGGGAAAGGAACGGGCGCCTGACAGGGGTGGGGACGTGCGGGATGGGGAGCGGCCGGCCGTGCAATGTGGACCGACCATTTCTTTTACAACTTCTTTTTTTATGGATTTTTATTAACTTTAATGACCCGTACGAACCCTGTAAATGTGGATATGAGTGTGAGTGGTTGGTTGTGTGCCCTTCAGTTTTTTGGTGTACTCGGTCTTTCACCCCAAAAGTCAACCTGCATAGGCCCCAGTGCAACCGTGATCTTAGTGGTAACCGATCATCTTTGATGACGTTTAATTCTTACATTGTGAAAAGGCAACAGAAGCTCATTTCATATTGTCCTGACTTGAGTTCATTTTGAGGAAGTTTTATGTCAACAACCCTTTGTGTGTGTGTGTGTGTGGGGGTGGGGTGGTGTTTTGAAGAAAAAAAATCAATTGGTTGAAAGTCAAAGAACTTAAAATGATGCCCCAAATGATATAAATAAACTACCTTGTCCTCCATCCTGCTGAGTCGGGATCCAATAGAGTTGCTTCCCTTGTCTTTGGCCCGATCTAAACAGGAACAGCAGTAAAAGAAAAGGGGTATAGGTGTTCCTGCTCCAACAGTTCATATATTAAATAGAACAGTTAAGTGATGAATTACCAGTTCCTGTCTGAAATGAAGTTATCTTGCCTAATGACTGGTCGAGTCTGGAGACATAGGTGAAAAGTAATAACACGTTCAACAATTTCTCATCAAACATATTCCTTGTGACCTCTGTTGGTGAGATCATCATGCATTTCTCTATACAAAGGTTGTGAAAGTGACACATTTACCTTCTCTGGAGTTCCTTGATCCGCACCATTAGGTTGAGATGACCATGGTTGTATTGCTCAATCACATCTCGGACTTCATATGGTTTACGAGCTTGCTATGTGGATAAAGAAGACTTGCAGTGCTATATTTGAGCTCACTTTTTTCAAATTACGTAATTGACTAGTTGCATTGTATTAAAATACTGTCATTTGTAATTCTGCGTACAATATTCAGATATCATTCATCATAATTATGACAAAACCAAATGTGTTTTTAAGTTATTCTTTTTTTGTAAAGAATCACACTCCATCACACTGTGCATGGAATGCATTTTTACATCAACAAATGAATGTTTCATGTAATTCAAATATTTAAAACACCTCTTAGGCCGGATTGCACCAACAAGGTTTAACTTTAAATCAATATTAAATCAGGAATTAAGTTTAAATTTGGCTGCGTTAAAGTCCAGTTTAAACTGTGATCAAGAATTAATTTTAAACTGACAGTTGGGATGGTTTAATTTTAACAATGACTGCATTTTCTTAGGTGCAGAGATCAAAAATAATTGAGTTTCTTGAAGAAAATTGATCGACAGGTTCAATCCGTTTGAATTTTATGATGGCGAGGAATTTTTGATGCAAGGCCGGTTTATTAAACAGTTGTGGAGCTGAACAGGAGGACTGGATCAACTGCCATACTTGGCAATGACAGAAATGCGACTGTACTGCCAAAGCGGCAATTGTGGCTTTTGTTTTTAATTTTTTTTTTCCAGCAAGCATTCATTGAACAACATCGCTTTTCTCTTTCACTTTGGTCAATCTGTTATAACACTCACTTGTGTACCGTATGTATACTGTATATCAAATTAATATTGTACCTCTCTTAAAGTGCCATCTTGAATCTTTTTGTTCAATAAACAACAAAGAAAAAAAAACAATTTCCCCCTCACATTTCAACACAGATGTCTCTCATAGCACAAAATGATGCACTCACCTGGAACTTGCTCTTCGCCACAAAATAGCGCATTTTCTGGATCACACGGATAGCCCGTCTATGGGATTCAGTTAGTCTGTTAAAAAATTTCAAATGAAAATCATGTGATGAAGGTGTTAATGTTGAAAAGGAAAGAAATCAGTCAGCCACATATGATTAATGAATAAAAACATAAAAATATGCTATAAACATTGTTGTAAAATTCACAAATATATAGGGCAGCAACAAGCCATACAGCTCACTACCCTTTAAGGAATCGTAGCTATATTTCTAATTTAAAAAATGGGGTGGTGTAAAGTGAAGCAATGTTTCAGCTGCATGTAATTAAATGTGGCATATATAACTACAACAATGATTTGAATCAAATATAAGGTGCTCAAACAGGAAACACACCAGAATCCTCCTCAGAAGCATTTTGAATGGTGTTGTTGATACATTTTCACATAATTTATGATGAGCAATAAAGCAAAATATGTCTAACAAAAAAATCCTGGTGGAAAAATAACAAACAAACTACAACACAAGGTAAAAAGAAAAACTTCAGATTTAGAAGCTGCAAGCATAGAGGCAACATGTTTGGGAATTTGGCTGCTTTGTGATATCCTCAAAAAGAAGTCCCGAGGAGATTGTAGCAAGAGTTATTATGATGAACTATTGCTTTCCACCAGCAGGACTCATTACGCTAGAAAGACAAATGAATGGATAAGTAGAAGGAAGAGCATTGTGTATTTTATAATGGGGAGCTCTATTGGCTTCCTCCGGAAATGCAGTCAACGGCCAAAGTCGAAATAGGATTAAGTCATGAATACTCTGCTTTGTATACTTGTATTATTTAAAAATACTGATGTTGAAGACTGAATTGGAAAAAAAATATTTAATTATTATTTACAAAGAATCGAGCTATCTGTCATGAACAAAGCATTCAAATCCTAATCCAATTTAGGGAGGGACTTTGCAAGGAACAGCGAGACATTTGCACATCCAGTGAATGTGTGTTAGTAGGAGTTGAATAAATAGGCTGTAACCACGCTTATATCTGTCTTTTTCTTTGGGCAAGAAGAAGCTTAGTAGGCTTAAGCCAGAGAATGAAAAATATCCAATGAGCCGATCGTCTATCTTGAAGATAACATACATGGCAATGGCGAGTGATGAAAAAAGCGGAAGGGGCGTGGCCTGGACGGGGGCGTGGCCTGGACGGGGGCGTGGTTACTTACAAAAGTGGCACTAAACATGCTGAAGATGAAGTGTATTAAATTTACACAGTTTGAAAATTGAACAGAAAAAAATCCCAAGATCGCCACTATTCTTTCAAGTGAAAATTTGTGCAATTTTGCCTATGCATTCCTGGTGAGCACCAATA